TAAGCTGGACTTCTTTTTCTTCACACAGCACTGATGTGCTTCCAGAGGAGTGGGAGTTTTATAAATTCGTGCAGGCCGGTGGTCACTTAGGGAATCTCCTGGGGGAGTTTCAGGAAGTCTCCAGTAACCATGCCTGGTCGCATCAAGGGGCCTCTAGAACAAGCCTACGGGTCATCTCACAGCGCTCTCTGAGGATGCACCCCCCCCCACCCCCGGGGCGGAAGTTCCCTGGAATTCAGTCATTGCGAAGAACTCCAGGACAGAAAAGCTGTGAGGCAGATTGGATGGAGATGGAGACAAGGAGTGGTTCATTAAGTTCATTCACTGCCAAGTCCTTCCACTTGTCAGTTAATGTGGACTGCCTTTGCCGTGGCACTGAGACATGTTCCTTTCCGTGGAGGAAATTTCGAATAGGATTTTGACAAAAGATAAGTCAGGAACAACCTTCTTGTGAAACCGGGCTGAAAGCTATCAGTCTGGTCTAGCTAAAACGTATCAAGCAGTGAAACATTACTGTGAGAGTGAGCTTCAGAAAGGAGGAGCTCTTGTCAATGTGGCTAGAGCTTTTGGGCTGCGTTTCGGAAAGACTGTTGGTCATGTTTACAGATGGGAAGTGACATGTTTGTCCTGGGGATCTAGGGACAGGATTTCTCTCAGTCTCTAAACTGACTTGTCAGATCCTGGCGTTGTGATTTCCACCTGGGACAGGCGAGGCCTCACATTGACTGATTTATTTCTGCCACCTCCGTCTTGCCGGGATGCGTCTGCCAGCGCCCCTGCTCGCACGGGGCTAACGTACCTCACTCCAGGAGGTGTCTCTGGCACATCCGGATGGGAGCGATCGGAGAGAATCTCCCTATCCTGAATTTACTCACATAATTTGGGGCGATATGTTTTGTTACAACAAACACAATGATTATGAACAAGAACACAAGGTTACACGCATTTTTAAGATCAAGACCAGCAGACACTGGCTGCATAGACGTTTTTCCGGAGGAAGTGCATTTCACACGCTGTCCCTCATTTGCCAAGAATTTCTTCTGCCCCCAGAAAGGTCAGAAAACTCTGCAGTGTTTTGCTTGACCTGGAGGGACAAACAGGCGATGGGGCTCTCCAGTGTGTGGATGAAAAGTCAGACTTGGTTCAAGGAAATGCTATGCTCCCACTCAGCCTCACTCGTAGTGAGGCAGGAGCGTTGTACTTTGAAACACTTGGAGTTAAACCAACAGGTTTTCTCTTGGTGCTTTCTTCTCCTTTTTAAAATTATGTCATTAAAATAACTTCCCGAAAGCGAAAGTTCTGTGGCATTCACTGCCAGTGAGTCGTTAGTGACCAAATAAAACTACTTAACTGCATTCATGAATTACAATTTCTACTTCACCTTCAAATAATTTGAAATGCTAATAAACTGCCCAACTTTTAAAAAGCTAAACATTTTACCAAAATCATTGAGAATCTCCGAGAAGCAGAAAGGATGTGCTATGGGAACCTGGGGCATAGACTGTTACTCAGCGGGGAAGCTGCGTCGGGGTGACCAGTGTGGTGCCAGGAAGGCTGGCATCCAGGCGGCCTAAGCCAGGCCAAGTTGCCGCTTCCCAGGCCTCTTCAGGGTGGTTTCTGATGCATCCAGCTCACTGTGGAGACTGAGACTGTATTTTTAAGAACTAACCCAGGGCTCACTTTGGCAGTTCATGTACTAAAATTGGAACAATACAGAGAAGATCAGCATGGCCCCTGGGAGGGTGGCAAGCAACTTCATGAGAGGTTAGAAAATCTCCAGATGTCTACCCATGCTGCCGCATGAAACAGGACTTCATTCCTTGATGATGCTGAATGACCTTTCACCCTCAGGATAGACCACATTTTATCAATCATTTGTCATCATCCATCCAGTGGATGATGTCAGTACAGTTCTCTGAGTGTTCATGGGGCGGGCGAGCTGGACTCGAAATCTTGTGACTCAACAGTTGAGATGGTGTGTCTCTTTCTCTTTTACGTCTATCATCTTCTATTTTATTTGGTGCGTGCTAGTGTACTCCAGTCCTATCCGGGCACTATCCAGGGCAGCATTAGGTAGGGAAGGACTTGGTGCAGCCAGTGGTGCCCCGGCCCCGTGGGCGACTGACTCGCTGCCTTTTACCAGCGGGACGGTGTGTGCGGGTGGGAGAGTGCAGATCGCTGCCTTGCCGAGTAGGAAGGAGAGGCCGACCGCTCAACGGTTGATGCAGCGTGCCTCGTGCCTGTCGCACGGAAAGCCACAGATGGTTCTGGATGGATGGGAGGATCTGAGTCTGTGGCTGTGTCTCCAGGCCTTTGGATTGGAGAATGTTTTTTTCTTTTTGTTCCTTTTTGCATTTTATTTACTTTGGATTCAGGGCGTGCACGCGCAGGTTTGTTACATGGGGGTCTTGACGATGAGGTGGAACTTTTGTTGAACGTGTCACCCCAGTAGTGAACGTGGCATTCCGGGGGTAGTTTTTCAACCCTTGGCCCTCTGATTCCCGCTTTTCGGACTCCCAGGGTCTGTCGTTCCACCCCTGTGCCTGTGTGCACCTAGCTTCTAGCGCCCACTTACGGGTAAGCGCATGTGGCGCTTGGGTTTCTGTTTTGTGTTTGTTGGCTTGGAAGAGTGGCCTCCAGCTGCATCCACATTGCTGCAAAGGACATGATGTCATTCTTTCTTATGCCTGCGCAGTATTCTGTCTTATGTGCGTACATCTTTTTCCAGTCCACTATTGATGGGCACTTAGGTTGGTTCCATGTCTTTACTGTTGTGAACGGTGCGGCAGTAAATGCACGTGCAGGACTTTCTAGTAGAATGGTTCATGTTCCTTTGGGAGTATACCCAGGAATGGGGTGCTGAGTCAAGTGATAATTCGATTTCAAGTTCTCGGAGGAATCTCCAAAATGCTTTTGGCAGGAGCTGCTCTAGCTTGCATTTCCACCAACAACGTATGAGTGTTCTCTTTTCTTCTCAACCTCATCAACGTCCTTTATTTCTTTGGCTTTTTAATAATAGCCATTCTGACTGGTGTGAGATGGTATCTCACTGTAGTTTTGATTTGCATTTCTCTGATGACTAATGGTGTTGAGCATTTTTTCTTATGTTTGTTGGCCACTTGTGTGTTTTTTCTAGAAGTGTCTGATCATGCCCTTTGCCCACTTGTAATGGGGTTATTTTTTTCCTGTAGATTTGAGTTCCTTATAGACTCTGAATATTAGGCATTTGTCGGGTGAATAGTTTGCAAATATTTCCGTCTATTCTGTAGGCTGTCTGTTTACTCTGTCAATTGTTTCTTTTGCTGTGCAGAAGCTCTTTAATTAGGTCCCAATTGTCAATTTTAATTTTTGCTGTGTTTGCTCTTGAGGGCTTAATTTTAAATTCTTTGCCAAGTCAGTGTCTAGAAAAGTGTGCTTCCTGGGTTTCCTTTTAGGATGTTTGTAGCTCGAGGTCCTGGTTTAAGTCTTTAATTCATCTTGAGTTAATTTTTGTATGTTAATGAGAGGCAGGGCTGCAGCTTTATCCTTCTGCATGTGGTCAGCTACTTTTCCCAGCACCACTTACTTAATAGGGTGACCTTTCCCCATGGTTTATTTTTGTCAGCTTTGTTGATCAGTTGGCTGCAGGTGAGTGTCGCCATTTCTGTGTTCTGTATTCAGCTCTGTTGGTCTCTGTGTCTATTTTTGTACCAGTACCATTCTGCTTTGGTTACTGTAACCTTGTAGTAAAGTTTGAAGTCAGGTAATGTGATGTCTCTGGCTTTGTTGTTTGTGCTTAGGATATCTTTGGCTATTTGGGTTCTTTTTTGGTTTCATATGGATTTTAGAATTTTTTTTCTTTTTCTGTGAAAATTACACTAATAATTTGATGGAGATTTAATTGAATCTACAGATGGCTTTGGGCGGTATGGACATTTTAATGATATTGAGCCACCCAATCCATGAACATGGAATGGTTTTCATTTGTTTGTGTCATCTTTGATTTCTTCCAGCAGTGTTTTGTAGTCCTCATTTAGAGACTTTCCACCTCATTGGTTAGGTATATCCCAGATATTTTTTCTATGGCTATTGTAAATGGGATTGTGTTTTTGATTTGGTTCTCAGCTTGAATGTTTCATAGAAATGCTACTGGTTTTTGGACACTGATTTTTTTTTTTTTTTAATCCTGAAATCTTTTGGAGGTTATTTATCAGATTTGAAAGCATTTGATGGAATAGTTATGGTTTTCTAGGTAAAGAATCATATTATCTGGGAAGAGAGATCATTTGACTTCCTTTTTTCTTAGTTGGATATATTTATTTATTTGTCTTGCCTGATTGCTCTGACTGAAATTCAGTACTATGTTGAATTGGAGTGGTGAGAGTGGACATCCTTGTCTTGTTCCACTTCTTAAGGGGAATGCTTCCAACGTTTGTCCACTCAGTATGATGTTGGCTATGGATTTGCTATCGATGGATCTTATTATTTTTGAGTTATGTTCCTTTGGTGTCTAGGCTGTTGAGGGTTTTCATCATGAAGGGACATTAGATTTTATCAAATATTTTTTCTACATCTATGGAAATGATCAGATGGTTTTTGCTTTTAATTCTGTTTATCTGGTGAATCATATTTATTGATTTGCATATGTTGAACCATCCTTGCATCTTAGGAATAAAGCTGACTTGATCATGGTGGATTATCTTTTGATGTACTGCTGGATGTGATTTGCTAGAATTCTGTTGAAGATTTGCATCTATGTTCACCAGGGATATGGCCTGTCATTTTGTTATTGCTGTTGTGTCTTTGGCATATTTTGGTATCAGGATGATGTTGGTTTTGCAAAATAAGTTAGGGAGGAATCCTTCTTTCTTCATTGTTTGTAATGGTATCAGTAAGATTAGTACCAGATCTTCATTGTATGTTTGACAGAATTCAGCTGTGACTTTGTCTGGTCCGGGGCTTATTTTGGTTGACAGGTTTTTAAAAAATTATTACTGATGCAATTTTGTGATTCACTATTAGTCTGTTCGGGGTTTCTATATCTTCCTATTTTAAGCTTGGAAGGTTGTGTGCTGCCAGGAATTTATTCATTTCCCTAGGCTTTCTAGTTCACATGTATAGAGATGTTTGTAGTGTTCTCTGAGAATTTTTTATATTTCTGTAGGATTGGTTGTAATGTGCCAATGTGTCATTTCTGATAGTGTTTATTTAAATCTTCTTTTTTTTAAAATCTAGGTAGTGGTCTGTTTATCTTGTTTATGCCTTCAAAGAACCACCTTTTCATGTTGTCAATTGTTTGTAGGGCTTGTTTGGTCTCACATTTATTTAGTTCAGCTCTGACATTGGTGTTATTTTCTTCTGCTAGCTTTGTGTTTCATTTGTTCTTGTTTTTCTAATTTGTTTAGAGACAACGTTAGGTTGTTTATTTGAGATCTTTCTATCTTCTTGATGTGAGTATTTTGCTGTAAACTTTCCTCTAACAATGCTTTTGCACCATCCCAGAGGTTTTAGTATGTTGTGTATTTATTTTCATTTGTTTCAAGGAATATTTTTTATTTCTATCTTGATTTTGTTGTTTACCCAAAAGTTATTCAGGAGCAAGATGTTTAGTTTCCATGTATTTGTGTCATTTTTGAGAGTTCCCCTTGGTCTTGAGTCCTACTTTTAATCTGCCTTGCTCTGCAAAGATACTTGGCATGATTTTTATTTTTTAAAATGTATTGACTCATGCTTTATGGCCAAGCATATGGTCAACCTTAGAATATGTTCCATGTGCCAGTGAGAAGAATGCATATTCTGTGATCGTTGGGTGGAGTGTTCTGTAGATGACTATTAGGCCCAATGGTCAGATGTTGAACGTATGTCTAGAATTTTTTGGTTAATTTCTGCCTAAATGATTTGTCTAATGCTGTCAATAATGTGCTGAAATCCCGCACTGTAATTGTGTGGCTATCTAAGTCTTGCCTTAGGTAGTAGTATAATTGTTTAATAAATCTGGGTATTCCACTGTTAGGTGCATATATATTAGGTTAGTTAAATCTTCTTGTTGAATTGAACTCTTTACCATTATGTATGCCCTTTTTTTTTTTAACTGTAGTTGGTTCAGAGTATGCTTTATCTGTTACAGGGATAGCTATCCCTTCTCTTTTTTGTTTTCCATTTTCATAATTGATTTGTTTGCATCTCTTTACCTTTGGTCTATGGGTCTCATTAGATGTGAGATGGGTTTTCTGAAGTCAGCAGAAGGATAGGTTTTTTTTTGTTTTCACCCAGTTTACCACTGTGTTTATTTAAAGTGGGGCATATAGACCATTGACATTCAAGGTAAATATTCACGTGTGCGGTTTTGTTCCTGGTTTGGTGTTATTAGCTAGTCACTTTGTAGTCTCAATTGTGTAATTACTTTATAGGGTCTGTGGTTTACTTGTGCTTTTATGTAGCAAGTCTCATTCTTTGGTTTCCAGGTTTAGAACTTGATATAAGCATCTCTTGTAGTGGTGGTCTGGTGGTGACAAATTCCCTTAGCAATTGCGTATCTGGAAAAGCCTTTATTTCTCCTTTGTTTATGATGCTTAGTTTGGTGGGACTAGAACGTCTTAGTTGTCATTTCGTTTCTTTAAGAATGCTTAAAATGGGTGATGATCTCTTCTGGGAAGTCCGCTGTAAGTGTGATGGATATCCCTTTATAGGTGGTCTGGCTCTTTTCTCTATTGCCTTTAAGAAGTTTTTCTTTCATGTTGACCTTGGATCATCTTGTATAGTATCTCACAGGAGTTCTTGGATTTTCTTGTATCTGTGTGTTGCCTTCTCTTGCAAGACTAGGGAAATTTTCCTGAACTATGTCCTCAAATATGTCTTCCAAGTTGCTTCCTTTCTCTTTTTCTCTTTCAGTAATGTCAGTTAGTTGTAAGTTTTGTCCCTTTACAAAATACCAATTCCTCAAAGGTTTTATTCATTAAAAAAAAAGTTTTCTTTATTTTTATGACTAGGTTGATTAGAAGGATCAGTTTTCAGTCTCTGAAATTCTTTCTTCTGCTTGGTCTAGTCTGTGGTTAAGGCTGGCAACGGTATTTTGAAATTCCTGTTTGAATTCTTCAATTCTATAAATTCAGGTTGGGCCTTGCTTAGTAGAGCTATGTCAGCTTTCAAATTGTGAATTGTTTTCCTAGTTTCTTGGCATTTCTATTTTCTGTTGGGTCTCATTGAGTTTCTCTGTCATCTGGATTCTGAATTCTCTGACACTTTGAATCTTTCTTGCTGGTCATTTCATTTGGACATTTCATTGCCGGGGAGTTGATGTGATCCTTTGAAGGTGATGAAACTCTTTTTATTGCTTAAGTTACTGCACTGATTCCTTCTCATCTGGGGAAGTTGACTTTTTTTTTGCATTTTTTTAATCATTAGGATGTGGCCTTTTGATTTTTCCTTCTTTTTTCTCTTGTGGGGATGTCTGTGGTGTGTTGTGTTTGGTCAACTGACTTTACTCTGGGATACTTTCAGAGGGCCACGGTTCCTTGGTTGCAGACAAGTATGTGTGGTGACGGTTTCGGTATTGCTGGTTGAAGCGGTGTGCTTTTGTTTGGTGGTACAGTTTAGGCTGCAGTCAGTCAATGGCGCCTTTCTGGCTCACTCTGCGTCCCGGGGGCCAATCTCTGCCATTCCCATCTGCACCCCTTTTGGTGTGCCCAGCCTTTTCGTGGGATGCCCCAGCAGGCCCTGCTGTTCCCCTTTCCACTTTGCACTCCCCATCAACGTGGCCACTCCTTCCGAGGAGCCCTGGTGCATGGTGCCCTCCTCAGCTCTTTTCTTCTGTGGTTGGATGGTAGGAGTCTGCTAACTGGGCTTCAACACACTGAGCCGTCAGGGAGGATGTCCACTGTACTGCGACACTGCTTCTGAGAGTGTGCTTGCCACTGGCTTGCAAACTGTGATTAACCACGCCTATTTAGATGTATTGGGGTCTTGTTTGTGTAGGACTTTTAAAAACAATTGTTACTTCTAAATTCTGTACATTTCTCGTCGGCCTTAGGGCCCCAGTGCTCATGAGTGTGACCTCTGCTACTGGGATGGGCGCTGCGGGTCCCTTCTGCTCTTTGTAGGGCTCTGCCTGCACACTGTCAGCCACTCCTTTGCTTTGGGTGTCTAACGAACACTTTCGTGCATGCATTCCGCTTCGAATCTGCTTTGCTAAAAATGGTGGCCAGCAGCCTTTAAACGTTACTCTTCTTCAGAAAAGTGAAAGTTCGTTGACGACCAAATTGAATCCCCTTCAATGAATTAAAATACCTATTTTCAATTAATATTGAAGAAGGGAAAAACTGGAATAACATGGAAAAGTGCATATTGCTCCTGTTTGCTGAATGGAAGTTGAACAAGTTAGGGGCTTGTTTTGAAGTTATAGGAGTAGCTTTTAAGACGCTCTTACCACGAGCATCATCATGCCATCCTTCCCTCAGCATCCCCTTTGATTTGCAGCAGCCGGGAGGGCATATGTGTGAATGCTGCCCATTGGCACCCTGTAAGTTACGAATGCTCCAAACGACTCATCTTGCAAGATTCTGGCTTGAAGATTCCAGCAGGCCCCTCTCTTGCTGTTTCTAGCCCCCACTGCCCCTCTCTCATCGCACACACTCAGAAGCCATCAGTGCCACCTCTTTCCTTCTGTTGTATCTGGCGATGTCCCAAGTTCCGTCAAGTATTTATTTTGTCATATGCCGTGTGTCTTCCTCCTTCTTTTCTATCTGAGTCATCACTTCCCAAGGTCATATTTTTAAATCTTTCTCTGGACTTTTAAAGTGACTCTCAGCTGTATTTGTGCCTCCATTGTTATTAATACTGCAGACCCCAAGGAACTTTCGAATACACAGACAGTCCTGTCATTGCCCCCTCGAAGTCTGTGAGCTGCGTAGCATGAAGGTGACACTCCGTGGGTATCCAAAGCCCTTTGGCCTCAGGCTCCAAGACCGCCTTCTCCCTTTTCTGCCACATCTCCTTCCTTCCTCACTGTGACTGGACCACGTATGCACGCTCACGTCTCTGGTTTTGCTCATGGTGTGCTTCAGCCTGAGTGCCTTTTCCCCCTCCTTGGCATTTTTGCATTCTTTACAGCTCCATTTGAATGCCTCTTACTCTACTCAAGATAGGGTTGTTTTTACTTTGCATGCATTACATGTCTTATACACCTCTGTGCAATACTTATTCATGTAACATAGAGATTTGTTCTTGAATGCCTCAGTCAGAACCATCCGGGTTCAAATCCCGCCTCAATGGCTTACGTCCTTCACACCTGACAGTGATGTCATTTCCTCTGCCGTGTCTGCAAGCTAGGTATACATAAGCAACTCATAACTCTGCTTCTACAGGCTAGGCATCATCCATGAGGCACCACACACCACACGTCTCCTTCTGTCATGTCTGCAGGCTAGGCATACAGAAGGCACTGCTTAACTCCTCTGCCTGCGTGCTGTCTTTAGGACAGGTATACGTAAGGCACGGTGCAACTCCTCTCCTTCTGCTGTCTCTGCAGGCTGGGCAAACAGCAGGCACCGCCTGACTCCTCTCCCCCTGGGCTGTCTTTAGGACGGGCACACATAAGGCACTGCGCGACTCCTCTTCCTCTGTCCTGTCTTTGGGCTAGGTATACGTAAGGCGCTCAGCGCTGCGCTGGGTGTGCACAAGGCGCGCTAACCCTCTCGCCCTGTCGCCCGCAGGATCGCGCCTTCGTCAGGAGGACTCGCCGCCGCGCATCGTGGAGCACCCCTCCGACGTGATCGTGTCCAAGGGTGAGCCCACCACGCTGAACTGCAAGGCCGAGGGCCGGCCGGCGCCCACCATCGAGTGGTACCGCGATGGCGAGCGCGTGGAGACGGACAAGGACGACCCGCGCTCGCACCGCATGCTGCTGCCCAGCGGCTCGCTGTTCTTCCTGCGCATCGTGCACGGGCGCCGCAGCAAGCCGGACGAGGGCAGCTACGTGTGCGTGGCCAGGAACTACCTGGGCGAGGCGGCCAGCCGGAACGCGTCCCTGGAGGTGGCATGTGAGTGTCTGCGCGTGCGTGGCGGTTGCGAGGTGTCTGAGGGGACAGAGGTTGCAGGCGCTGCGTGGCCGGGGGTGGGGTCAGAGCTCGGCCGCCGGGCGTCCGGTGGGAGTCCGGTGGGAGTCGGCGCCACGTCGTGGTGGCTGTGCGTCCTCATGTGGAAGAGGGCTGCGGTGATGCTCTTCCTGCTGTGTACTTGAAGCCGAGTGGCCACGTCGTCCAGTGTGTTGGGAGGGAAACTTGTGCCTACCGTGGCATCAAGCGCAGACACACCCCTGGTACCTGCTCATGTCCAGGAACTGTGGCTTATACGTGTGCACATCTGTATGGATTGGCCTATATGACTAGCCTTGGCCGGCAGCTTCCCGAAGGACACATTGTTTCCTCTGGGTTCCAGGAACTCACTCCCTTCCAGGCCGAATTCAGGACCACCTAGGTCTGCAGGAAGAAGCCCCCAGTGGCAGTAGTTACCCTTGCTTTATGGTGGAGCTCCCTGCAGGAGGGCCCTCATTGCCACTCGGTCCTGTGGGTCCCCAGAGCCAAGGCCTCCCTGCCCTTGGCACAGCGTGCATTTCTATTCACAAGTAGCCCAAGCCGCAGGTTACGTTGAGGTCTCGGTGTTTTGTTTCTGTTGGAACACTGACTCCATACCTTCATAGGTCATTTTCTAGAACAAATTTAAAAAGAAGATAGTTTGTTTTCTGACCTACAGGTGAGGATCTGGGGTCCTCATCCACACAATACCGCGAAATTGTGACATTATCTATTTTGAGGAGAGACTGTTTCTAGAATGAACTGTGATTGAGAAGGCAATGCTTGTGCCGCCTCCGCGTCTGTGATCTTCAGCCTCCTGGCTGTAAGCAGGGCCTCCACGACCAGAGGGTGAGCCTTCGGGGATGCCTGCCTTATGTGTGCGAGGAGGGGGCACGTGGGGGGAGCAACTGGGGGCTCAGCGCTGGCTCTGGGCGAGGCAGTCGTGCAACGGCTGGCTACTGCAGCTACCCCAGGGGAGGTTCCCCCCACAAGCGTCCTGTCTTCCATTGTGGTTTCTCGAGGAAGCCTGGCACCCGCTGAGATGCAGCCCCAGCAGGGAAGGCCTGCAGCATCCCGGGGCCTGTGTCCGTGGCTTGCAAAGAACCTCAGGACATGAACGGCAGAGCTAGCTAACAGGGCCGTTTTGCACGGGACACCAAGCCACTTCATTTTATAAAGTGGTGCTTCAAAAAGCACTTACACGAGAGGCTGTTTGGTGGGGTTTGGGATATACACACACGACTTCGAGATGCAAATGTCCCCAGTGTTCCGTTTCTATTTTGAAAGATCTCATTCTGGAACTTTTCAAACATGTGGTTTGACTTCTTTCCCACCGGTCCCTTTGTGGTAAATATGGCGGGCGCTGCTCTCCCCTTCCGTAGATGAAGGAAGGGGAGCCCATGACTGCTGCGCGGCTGAGATCCAGGCCGCAAGTCCACGGGCGATCCTAGCCCAGACCCCGAGTCCTCATTGACTCTCAGGGCATTTCTTCATGTTTGAGGAAACACTCCTTCAAATGAAATCTGTTTAAATAAATAAATGAAATGAAAAGCACAGATTTTAAATACATGGAAATTATTGAAAATTAAGAACTTTTAATTCTTCACAATGGAAATTATTAAGATTAAGAACTTTTAATTCTTAGATTAATTCTTTTATCTAATCAGCAGCAAATAGCTAGTGTAAATCTTTAACACAATTTTACTTCTCAAAAGTGGAGTGTATCTACATCGACCAGGCATTTTATCGTTGGGCAGTTATAAGCTTGTTTCTTTTTTCCTGAGCCTTAGCTGTTTTAAAATTGCTCCCAGCACACATGTATCTTTCATTGTTATTTTCCCTCAAAGGATTGCTTCTTTTCCTAATTGCATCATCAATAATTAATGGAACTATTTGAGGAGGAAACTTTCAAACCGTGGTTTTTGTGTGTGTGATGTGACAGCAACTTTTTTACTTTGAAATAAAAGGGTGTAAGAGATGCTCGGCTTACTTACAACCCAGAGAGGAAAACAAGGCCTCCAAATCGGACTCAGCGAGTGCGTGCCCGTCTTCTCATGCCAGGTGGACAGCTCGTCCCACTTGAAGCTGCAGGGGGTCCTGTGGGGTCCAGAATCTGTCTGCGCGTCTCTTCCCACAAGCTCACTGGGCCCCGTCCTCCCTGGGATTTCCGTGGGACAACTTAATATGGACAGTTGGGTCAAGCGTAGCGATCACTGATACTTATTGATAGCGAAGGTATTCTAAAACAGGAGAGGAACAGCTGCAGCTGATAAGAATCTGGCTTCCATGTTTTAGATATGCAGCATAAGTACTCGGTCATGGTACGGCCACACTGTTTCTTACAGAATGTCGATATTTTCTGGGAGAGGCGTGAAGGTCTAGCCATGAAGAAGACCCATCCCAGTCTATCCTCAAAGAGCTGGTGACCCAGTCGGGGTGACGAGTGTGTAAATAAACAGTTGCCATCGTAGACAAAGGGCAAAGCCTGCCACAGAGGTGTGTGAAAGACCATGGGAGCCCACGGGGGAGAACATGGCTCCTGCCTAGATGGGTGAGTTTGAGAATGGATTCTGAGAGCTTTGAGGGCCAGGAGGACCATCCCAGGTGGAAATCCAGGTGTGGACCGCCCGGGAGCAAGGGTGGAGGCCCCCAGCAGCACCAGGCACTGCAGAATCGCAGGTGGCTGAGCTGAGATGGGGTCTGCTGAGTCAAATCTGCACTCTTTTGTTCTGGGAAGTCTTTGACAGAGCATTGAAGCCTGCCTGAAGGGATGGGTAGAGTCGGAGAGCGCTAAGTGTGGTCAGACAACTCAGAAAAGAGCTGATGCCTGATTCTAAACTGAAAATCACAATGAAGATCGAAAGGAGGAAGTGACTTGAGATGTGTTTGGGCACTGTCACTCCTGTCACTCCATGGTCAACTTGGGGTGTACGAGGTGATCACCAGGCGAGGCTGCATGGCTGGGTATACAGTGCTGGCCTCTGTGGGAGCAGTGCAGGAGCAACACGCCCAGGCAATGACAGGGAAGCAAAACTGGCTGTGTGGTTGGATGGGCCGAGGGCATCAAGCTGAAAGACCTTGGGTTGCGTTAAGGAAGCAGCTCCTGGAATGGGCAGATGAGGTCTCACCAGATGGAAGCTCCAGAGTGGTCAGGAGTCGGGAGCCAGGCAGGCTGGATGCTGGGAGCGCTGGTCAGGCTGAGACACCCCAGAGTTAGTGGGTGTGGGAAAGGACACAGGGCCCTACCGGAGACTCAGGTCTGAGGCAGAGTCAGGATGTGGGCAGCAGCACGACAAGAAAGACCCCTGGATACGCTCGAGAGTGAGAAAGGTGGTTGGGCCAGAGCTGATGCCCTGTGGGGGTCCCAGAAGCAGTCCCTGCGCGTTCCAGAGAGGGGACAGGGCACAGCCGTGGAGGAGGGAGCCATGGCAGGCTGGGAGCGGCAAGGCACTGACTCCGCCCTCTCCAGAAGGCAGCTCTGAGTCGGGTGTGGGCATGGGGCAGGCACCACGGCTCGCTGGCCTCTGGGACTTGCTGACCCTTCGCTGGGGGTGGGGCTTGTGCCCGGCATCAGGGAATGTTCAGGGGCCTCTGTGGCCTTTGCCCATGAGATGCCGGTGAGATCCCTCACCCTGCTGTGACAGCCAGCAGTGTCTCCAGTTGCTTGGGAACGTCCCTCTAGAAGACAAAGTCAGTGAAAAGCCACTGCCCTGGGTGTGTCTGACAGCCAAGAGGGATGGATAAGTCGCCACAAAGCATGTGACAACTTTTATCATGAAATGATTCCGATTAAATAGATGGAAAAATGTTGCCTATTTTAGTTTCACCTTGGTTTTCCTTTTAATTTAAAATGTTGTGTTTTGCTGCAATATGACAAAATTTTGTTGAAAACAGTTTGTCTTGACAGTGTGCATGAAAGTCAGCTGGTCTGCAGCAGAGAATACACTTAGTCAGTCTTTTCTCTCCCTTCAATATGTGCTTCTGTTTTATGTCGTGGTACAGGGTGGAGGAAAACATCCAGAACCAATCAGTGCCGTGGAGACTTGAGTTCCCACACATTTGCCTTTCACTTGTTTATTTTAAAAAATCTTGGTTAGGAAAACAAATGTCCAGAAAGTGCCTTGGCGTCACTTGAAATCAACAAAAAGCCTTAGGCCTAAGGGATTTTTGAATGGTTGGAAAACAGAATAAAGAGTCCATGAGAAAAAGACCCGGCATCGAGGAGGGAACATACAGCAGGACAGCCTGGCACGGGGTGCAGCTGGGGTCAGTTCCGAACTTGGGTGCTTCCTGGATAGGGAACGGAGTGCGAAGTCTCCTACAGGTAACAAGGGAAGGAGTGCCAGGTCTTCTCCTGGGTGATGAGGAAGGAGAGCTGGCTTCTCTCCATGGTGCTGGGGCGAGGTGTGCAGGGTCCTCTCTGTGGTGCTGAGTGAGGAGTGCAGGGTCCTTGGAGACCACGGTCCTGGGGGTGCGTTCGAGGTGGCGGGAGCCCTGGGAGCAGCTGCAGCCCCAGGTGGTGCGTCTGTGACAGCAGCTTGATCTATCGACCAGGGCGAGGGGGGTTCTGGCCTAAATGAACGTTCATGAAAAATTGATGAAGTCCCAGATGATTTTTTCCGTTTCCTTCTCTCACCACGAGGCCTTTGCTGAACGGGAAGGTGGAACGAGGCGCTGCACGTGTCTGTGGTAGCAAGGCTGTGGATCAGAGGTCAGGGGTCCTATCGAAAGCGGTCTGTCTGTCTTTCTTTTCTTCTAAAACCAACCCTAGAACTCTCCAGACTTGCTGTTTACCTGTGCTTTGATGAATAACGGCCAACTGTGCAAAACTCGGCTTTGGATGCAACCACAGAGAGAGAACTGATGCGATTCCCAATTCAGTTGGGAGACCAGAAATAGATCGGGTTCCTTGAGTGCAGGATGATTCTTCCTTTTCTTTTCTCTCCTGTTTTTTGTGTCTTCATGTG